TTTCACATCAGCCCGCATTATACTTGAAAGTAAATGGTTGTTGGACATCAGCACACATCGGGATAATGATGGATGTTTATAGTCTTACCAATAGACATGTTCTTTTTGTGTACGATTATAAGTATAACCTTAGCATTACTGATTCAGTGGCTTATTCATATGTGAGAAATGCTTTGGAACAATCAGATGAATTCAGCTATCATAGACTAAAATATATAAACAGAATAGGCAATATATGCATAACATTCAACTAGTATTCATCAGAACAAATATGATCAACTGAAGTTTGATGAATGAAGCAACAAACATTTGGATTGTAATGGTTCTACTACCTAGAATATTGTGAATATTTATCACTCACAATATTCAACAACATCATCATCATCATCATCATCAATAGCAACTTAGAACTTTGCATGTAAGTACAGCAGATGAAGTTGCCATACCAAATTAGCACAGAAACGCAATTGTCACTTCAAATCCCATAGTAGTAGAGGTAGTAAAAGTATTAGAAGTAATCGGAGAGATTAGGGTTCGAAGATGTTATTCAGGAAGTATAATTCAATGAGATTAATTTAGAAAGAGAATGATAGAGGTGATGAGGAATTCTGAAGGTTAGAATTTCATAAGTGAAGCAGTCAACACGCTCAACTGCTTCTCTTCCTATCACTAGTTCAGGTACCGATGAAACCCAATCTTGAAGCAAAATTTTGCATTTTGAGGGCGAAAACCGCATCCCGAACTTGCTTGTGGATAAAAGCAAGCGAGACAAAATTGGTCACAATCAATATTCAAGATAGTGTAAATCTGAGCATGACAAATACGAATTCAAATTAAGCGAAATTGTAGAATGTACTCAACTCTGTTATGGTGATCTGTTTTGCGTCATAACCTAACATTTATGACTGTTGACTACGAGTATCACGAAGACAGTAATCAAGAATTCTAACCTTAACAACACGAACTACACAAGCAGTTACTGACCTTAGGAATTATTACTGTGTTTTGATTTGTTCGCTTCTAGTAATTTTGTAACCTAGTTTCACATCAGCCTGCACTATACGTGAAAGTAAATGGTTGTTGGACATCAGCACACATCGGGATAACGATGGATGTTTATGGTCTTACCAATAGATATGTACTTTTTGTGTACGATTATAAGTTTAACCTTAGCATTACTCATTCAGTAGCTTATTCATATGTGAGGAATGCTTCTGAAAGATCAGATAAATTCAACTATCATAGACTAAAATATATAATCAGAATAGGCAGTAAATGCATAACATTCAACTAGTATTCATCAGAACAAATATGATCAACTGAAGTTTGATGAATGAAGCAACAAACATTTGGATTGTAATGGTTCTACTACCTAGAATATTGTGAATATTTATCATTCATAAGTTATCAATTAAAAGATCTGGTGACATTTGATAATACAGCTAGTTTTTAATCAGTAACATGTTAGAAAAAATTCTCTGGTATTGTGGTGTGAGCTACTTATAAGTAGTATATGACGTGAGTGTCAACGTAATGTCTGGCAGCAGAAGATGGGGGAAGATCAAGAAAGAAAGAGTTGGAAAACAATGGAATTTGTATGAAACGCATGAACAGTGACAATGGATTGATGTTTTGCAACAGGAACAGTCCAGTTCTATATGATGAACTGTTATTTTGCAAATTAACGATTTACGATATGGTTTTCCAATTTTACTGAGTAACTCTGTAATTTTCGCTAAATACAATCCGGTTGCCCCACCTGTGTTCTCCTTCACTACAGTATTACTCCAGAACATGGTATTAAACTAAAAAATAATAGTAAATTAAATTAACTTATGATAAGTAAAGAATTTGTAAAATTAAAAGATTTAACATTCCCATCATCATATTTAATCAGTAAATGATCATTGGAAAATAACATTTAAATCTAAATGATAATTAAAGTCAGCTTCACTTAGTCTCATCATGAAATGACATCAGTTTGTATGTTATGACATTTGTTTCATTCAAGTTTTATGATTCCATAGCAGTGTAAATTCACTACACTAGTCGTAGTCAAACTCAGGGCTATCAAATCATACGGAGAACAAAGTAATATTTAATAGATTGAGTTGAATAAGATTCAATGGCATATATTTTTTAGTCGACTACTGAAATATAGCGATTTTCGTCAAAATCACCGGTTGACCACTGTATTACTCCTAACATTTACGGACTCTATAAATCATAGTTTCATGATAGAATATCACTAAATCTAACTTGAAACTAATCTCTAGTAAGTACATGAACACTATCAATTCAGATCATTTCATGTACAGATTTTTTTAGATAGAAGGCAATTTTCATCAAGTATTCACTCGGAAATTATTGCCATTCACTTTTTAAACACTTTCTTTTGGTTCTAATCTATAGGTTTCAATATAACAAATGTGCTAGTTTAATGCATGGGATAAGGCGTTTGCATTGGGTAAAAAGTAACAGAGATGGATGCTTGTAACTTAATGGCAATCCTTACAGGATACATATATGCCAAAAGATACTGATCAATTGTAATCCTAAACATCAATGAGAAGATTTGAACTGCCAGAACAAATGAATAATCAGCATAAGTTATAATTTTGACCTAAATGATTCTGTTTGTTACGTTTTTTCCTACTTTGGAAACAGTATGTCTTACTAACTGATATAAAAATTGAATTAACCAATGAAAATTGCATTTACAACAATCATCTATAATATCAATCAAAATAATGAATTATCTGTCAACTTTTCAATGTCACATATTATGTGATGAATGTTCAATATCAGAGAATTCAACATAAGAATTTATTTTTCAATGTCATGCATAGAAAATAATATCATCCATCCATCAATTCTTTTTGCTTGTTTTAGGTATCAAATGTATGCAGTGTACAGAATAATTGACTAATTTCTTTCTCTCCAAAATCAAGTCAACTGACAGTGAACTACAAAAATTTGACAAACTATTCTACATATCAATATCCTACTTGTCATACGAAGAAACATTGATGAACACAAAAAAGGAAAATCACAAAAATATGTCAAGTTATATATATACTTGTAACTCTGGAGGTATTTACAATCCTTACTGAAATAACAACAACAACAACAGTGTAACCTTGTTTATCATCTTCCATTCAGAGTCAATTGTAAAAAGTTAAATTTATGTTTTTAATTCCACTGAAAAGAAAACCTAATCATAAACCTTTAATCTATGTGGGATCATTCTGTCAAACCTGTTTACAATAAAGTCACCTAAACAAAAAATTAATCTTAGTTCCTTATTTATAATGTGTAAGATAGAAGTAGATTCGATGAGACCAATTGATAGTACAGATAATCTGACACTTGGAAAAATGAACGTAATGACAGAATTCTACGTATAGCTAATGTATATGGATCAGAAATTATAATTACACAACGGCTTGATATTGGAATGCTTTAATTTATGCATACGACATTGTGTAGTCCAACCAGTTCCTGAACCTAACGCAAAATACTGAAAATCATTCCAACCAATAATTATCAGTAACAAAGTTCTATAGAACTCATTACTACTAAGCCACAAACTTTTCATATCCGACCAAGTTGAAGTGCTTCCAAGTTTCTAATGGTGGTCTAAGATTGATCGATTCATTGTTTCGAAATAGGTAATTTAACAATTTTCACAACCCCGTAATGCAATTACCTGTGCTCACTAGTGACTCGCTTTGTGAGGAATCTTCTCCGAGTTCTAGTGGGAAGTCGTGACCAGTGAAGTTCAACCTGTTCGGGTGTACACAGTAACTACTGAAGACTGTGTATGAGGTTGTGCAACTCCGTGAATTGATCAAGTTAGACATTAACACCGTTAGATACCGGCTCAGTGGTCCAGAGTTTAGGCGTTCGCGCACAATACCGAAGGTCCCGGGTTCGAATCCTGTGGGGTGCAGGAGTCGTGGATGCGCACTGCTAAGGGGTCCCATACCAGGACGAAACCGCTGTCCAGTGCCCCCAGGTTTCTAATGGTGGTCTAATATTGATCGATTGATGTGTAAGAATAAAGTGCAGAGAAAATATCTGATTATTGTCATAAACAGAGCGAGAGAATCTAGTAGACTTCTTAGAAAGCGTTTCTCAAACTTTGACAAACAAAACACTGACTGAAAGCACTAGACAATGTGTATTATGAACAGTTACAATGATTTAAATGTATTTATCTTGTATTTTTTTTTTTCAAAATCATGGATGAAGTAGGTAACTATTATTGTGACAGTATTTTGAAAATTTAGAAATAAATAAATAAATATTACTAAATTCGCAAAGTAATTAAAGTCTGAAGTACTCTCTGACTGACAGACAGATACAACACAGAACTTCGTACATAAGTACATCAGTTCAGGTTGCCATACCACATCAGCACAGAGACGCAACTGTCAGTTCAAATCCAAGAGTGATAGCGACAGTAGAATTATTAGCAGCAATGGAGCGAAGATGTGACTCGAAAAATATAATTCAGTGAGATAAATTTAGAAGAAGAAAGATAGAGATGATGAGGAATTCAGAAGGTTAGAATTGAGAGAACACAAATAATGGATGCACCTGAGCCACTGCAAATGATTTTCAACCATTTTACTCAAGGTGTCTAACCATCGGTGACTTTCGTCTCGCAGATCCCAACCAGGTAGCCTACATCTACTAACACGACTCAGTCCACTTGTCAGTGACTTCATGGATTGCTGCCATGTTTTGGTCTGGCAGCCCCTAGCTTTCTTCCAACCTACTCCTACACCACAAAACATAGCTCGTCGCGGCACGAGAAGTACTCTCTGAGGATTTCAAGTATTGCTCTTGAGGAAATTTCAAGAGCAATACTGATATATTGTTTCATCCTCTTTGATGAAATCGAAAAATCATGCATCAACTTAAAACTCAATGTGAGTAAAACTTGTCATAAATGAAAACAAACAAATATTTCACTTCATTGATATTGATATATTTATTTATATATAAATATAAACTTTGAAAACACATAACATTATGATCTTTAAGACAGTAGTAACACATGTACACAGTAATTGATTTTCTGAGCAAATATGTACGTAGAACAAAAAAAAAAGGTTGAAATTCAATTCAGTAAATAGTTGAAAATATAAAGAGTAAGTCAATAGGCGCTTGATTGTTGGTTAAGTTCACACAAGTAGATAATGATAATAATAAATGTTCAATACCATGATAATAAATAAAAAAAGGAAGCGAATACATATGTAATCTAAATAATAAAATGAGTAGTATAAATAATCACGATTAATAAAGTTAGATATTACATACAATATATATATATATATATATATATATATATTTTAGAAACAGTAAAATTGTAGATTGAGAGAATCAGTGCTTGTTTAATAGGATTAAAACATTTGGTGATTAAGAACAACACAACATATGGGCGGCATATAGATCAGTGCTCTAGGTAGTAAGTAAGTGCATAAAAAAAAAACACAATACAAGAGTTTTCTGTTTTTTTTATAGACTAGAAAAGAAACAATGAGAAAGCAAAGATAAAAACAATGGGTAAGTGATATTTGAGGACCAGGTAATCAATCACATAATCACAGAGTAAGTAAAATATCATTGAAGTTATGTTAGTCAATCACAATGTGGACATAGCGAAACGGTGACGAGGGTATGTTTGTGTATGACAGTAAAATAAAACAAACAAATGACTGGTAGTTGTTGATATTGTAGGATTTTTTTAGGAAATTAGGAAACTGAAGAGATTGGGCTTCTACTAGGGCCCATTTGACGAAGAACACGATCAAGCCATAAGAAAGGACCACGTAAGTGTATTTCTATCCAACATGGTGTAGAAGTTATATCTTGTCGATGGTATTCAGCACCCCAACCTTTAACAAAACTTAAACGTATGGTACACATACGTACAAGATCATAGGTAGCTTCAACACCACGTGATATAGTATAACTAAGAATATGAGCAAATTGACGATTAGAAAAAATGCGTAAGCATCCACCTGGAGGTATTTTAATCACAGTTGTCGGATGAAAATGATGACGTTCATTACATTCACGCGATTGGATGAAAATACTGCAATCTGATAAGCATTCTGCGTAAACATCGCCACCAAAAGTAAACAAATGAACACCTAAATAAGATATCAAAAGAAATACACTAGATATTAATTTAGATAAAATATATTTTAGAAAAAGTCAACTTTTAAGAATTTCTTGAAAAATTTTCCCTAGTAAATTATGAAATACAAGTTTTATAGGCTTGAAATATATAACCCTCATATTTCATGTCTATATTAGGAGTGTCTTAGTTCGCTAACAGAAAACATCCAAAACAGCAGTGTGCACCAACTCTCTTGATAAACGTCTGTCTCGGCCTCAAAACCATTGATAAAACGATTAGGAAACAAAAGGATTTATTATGAAACTTGGAACTATTCAGCTGCTATGGAAGTAAGTTGTATAGAAGCAGACCCGAACTACACGCGGACAATTCTTAAATTTTAAGATGACTGAGAAACCCATTTTTGTGGCTGATTTTGGTCAGTTTAGAGAAATAATTTACTTCACGAATAATTCTGAAGATTTTCACCTCAACATTAAAACAGAATCGAGTACAAAACTACTCAGTACAACTAGAATAGTCAAGAATGGAAATAGTCAACCACACAATGTTACCGAGAAGTAAAGGAGCATTGGGAACTTCGTAAACCATAGTCATATCCTACAAGTAATCCATAGTCATACTTTCTCTAGGATACTTTGTGTACAAACAATAGCCTAAATATCTTACAGCATAGCAAATATTTAAGACGTATATCATGTTTTGCGAGACAAAGTTATCTCTAAATGACATTTAGAATAAGAATAGGACAGCTTCTTTCTTTCTTATCCCCGACTACTCAAAACTACAAATCCTACAATAAAGTTTGAATTGGTAAAAAGCTTAGCTGAATTTAATCCACACTATAGCTAATTTATTTAATACAATAAAATGCATAAAAAATCAAATGAACCAAGGTCACAGTGAACAAACATGAAAATTTACTCAATGAAAATCATATTTTTTATTCATAGTAAAGTAGATTTGAGGATTTAAATGTATAACAAAGTGGTTAGAAAATTTATTCAATTGAGGTTTGCAGGTAAGCTTAGTGAGCGAATCGTCCATCTTGCTATCTTAGTAATTTCGAAACTTTATAAAATCAGTAAAGTTGTTGTGAAACTCCAATTTTCATATGGTAACATAAACAGATGTCAGTCAGCTACATCATAGAACTTCGTACGTACGTACATCAGTTCAAGTTGCTATATCATATTAGCACAGAGATTTAATTGTCAATTCAAATACTATAGTAATAGATGTAATAGAAGTATTAGCCGCTAATCGAGAAGATTAGGGTTCGAATAAGTTATTCCAGAAGTATAATACAGTGACATAAATTTCAAAAGAGAAAAAAAAGGTCATGAGTTCATGAGAGAAGACAAAGAATGGATGCACCTACACCATTGCAAACGATTTTGAGTCAAGTCATTCAAAGTCTCTAACCATTCGCTATTACGGTCTCGCGGACCGCAACCACCTAATAACATGGCTCAGCCCAATACATCGATTTGATTTGCTGCACATGAAATTACCAAGACATATCACAGAGCAATAGAAGTGACAGTATTATTAGTACTACAAGAGATTAGGTATAGAAGGCGTAACTGAAGGATAAAAATACGAATTTGTGGAATAAATAAAAAAAGAATTTCTTCAAGAGTTAAAACTTTGTTGAATATTTAACAATCTGGATCATTTCTTTTTGTCCTTTTTATGTAGGGTTTTAAGAAATAATCATGAATACGCGCACAAGTGTAGATGTGACATCAATGCAATTGGTATCTATTGACAAAAATGTTATTTTCCTATAATTTAATAATCTACACAATCATATTTAATATCCCAATAGAAAAAGAAAGGGGAATTCAATTTCTTAGATAAAAGATGATATGCATCTATTATAGCACTAGCTAACAAGTTATTTAATACAGAACTAATTCACATGCAGAGAGAAGTCAGCATTTAATCACCGATATATCAAAATCATAACACTCTATAGCATAAAAAATAAGAGGCCGAAATACTGAAAGCCAGTTAAGACAAATTCCATAGTCGAATTAGCTTCTTTTCCCCACTAGAAATAGGAACCTGTGGTGCACGTTCAGCTTTATGGAACTTCGTTTAGACTACACAATTTTGTGTAGAGAATACTGATATTACTCAGCTAGTCAAAATGAAGTAGCTGAAGCGGTATTCAGCTTCAAAACCTGAAAACCTGTAATAATAATAAAGATGATTCGAAATTTCTCTTTCAATTAACTTTTCAAAAATTAGAAGATCGAAAAGAAACAGGGAATGATGAAAACAGTTTAAGCCATTAATTTTGATCAAGTAAACAACAAGTAAAGATGAATAAAAGAAGGGAACATCATATGTACATACAAACAGACAGACAGACAAAACAAGTTAATTACAACAGATAAATGAATGTAACGGTATTATGAATTATCCAAACAATGTGGATTCACACTGCGTTTATAAGAATCGAAAAAAATCATCATCATCATCAATTGTGATTGCATAACTAACTCAGTAGACGAGATAGTTTTATAATGATGAACGAAGTAATAATAAACGTATTATTATTATTATTATTTAATAGTAGTAGTATCACTGGTTAATAATGGAAAATTACCAAGCTACTTTTTTATGATTAAAAATATAAGAAAACAAACAAGAATTCATACTGAATTTGAAATAATATTGATAACAATAACAATAAAAACAACAGGATTGAAGCCATATATACATGCATATATATAACCCAATCAAATTTTAAGTGAATATAGACGGCTCCCAACGTGAAAGTAATATGATGAGGGGCATGGGAAGAGATAAAGAGAGAGAAGAGAGGAAAGGAAAAGGTTATAAATTATTGCAATATAGAAAGAAACAGTGAATTTAACAACCATTTTATAGGCGCCCATAGTCAAGTGGCATTCAATATGGCGCCATCATAGAATATATGCATATCATAGTAATAATATACATGAATTGAACTAACGGATTACTATGTACATGATTTTAAAAGGAAGCTAGTTTTTTAGATTTACAAAATGTATAGTAAAATGTTTAATGGATGGGGAGATACAGTTAGTTGTGCTGGGGTATTAAGATTTAACGCTCGGATATGATGTAGAAAGATATACAATTTGAATAAATTTTCCGAAAATACGGAAAATAGGAAAATTATGCTAGAAAAATAAGTTACAGTTACTGTATATACTGCATCATAAGTAATTTATTGTCTATTCATTTATTCCTTTAAAAAAAAAGAATTCTATTTACGCTTATTAATGGACAAAATAGAATATTGTGAAAGTACACGCATACAATTTTGTATATGTATACGTATGTATATGAGAATAGTGTGTATTATACATATGCTAGTTAGTGATTATCACAATCATAGCTCAGTGTTAACTTCTATACGTGTACATATAAGAATTTGAGAAATATATACAAATTTCGTTATGAGATGACAGATTGTGATTTTGTTTTGTTTGGCAATTCACACATAAACACATACCATAGGGCAATTGATTAATGATAACACAAACGGGGTTGCATTAATAAAATGATACTTGAATTGTGATTAATATGTTTTGTATGGAAAATAAAATTTCATTATTGAAAGTTATTTGAGTTGTTATAAAATAAAATGAAAAAAAATAAAAAAAAATAAAATAAAATGTAATTTTTTTTATTCTGAAAAATTAGTTCTAAAATTCGCGCCAAATAATTCGTTAAAAAAAAAATCATCAGCTTAAAAATGAATAATCAAGAGTTTGTTTTTTGTTTTTTCATTGACTGACGATACAGCTTGAATGAATTTTTAAATTTTACGATTATAAAAAAATGCAAACACTTTAACGGAAGCATAGAGAAGATGATATGAAAAAAAAAGAATACATTATGTTACATTAAAGAAACAATCGGCTTGATCATCAAACTGTTTCCGTTTTATTTATTACATTCAAGGTTAATGATATAAAAATTATTGTGTGCATATAATTTCAGCCTTCTGCAAATTCTAGACTTTAAACTTTCACAGGTGTTACGATTACATAATGGTAAAAATTCAAAAATAATCAGGTAAGATAGCTGATTATCAATTGTTAATTTCTGAAAATATCAACGAGACAACATTTAAAATTCATAATTTCGTGTAGTTTATATATTTTGTTTTTACAAGATGGCAAATTATAAGCTTTGGAAACTAGTAGTTTCAAATTCGACCTTCTACGGTACTCCTAAAATTCAGTTGCTAGATTATCTAAGACTGACGATCATAATATAATAATTATTTTAGACACCGAGCACTGTACTTATTCATTATCGAATTTACTGAGTAAATAATCAACTGCAACTATAACTTTCATTCAACCTTTTCAACAACAATCTATATAAAGTTTAAGTAAAAAAACTATCAACGACTGGACATTAGCTCTTCCCAAATAACGCGTAAAGTATTTGAAAGCACATATTTTGCGAAACCACAACTAATTGACAAAGCTGCTTACTAGAAACCTGGAATAAAAATGGCCTTCAGCTTAAAATCTTCAAAATACTTACTGATAACACTTAATTTACTCTACTTAGTTGTCCGCAGTAATTTGTGTTTTATACTTTTATAGATATTAACAATCAGAAATTTGACTGTTTACTTAGATGATAAGTGAATAGCATTCATTAATGTGCGGGCAATCAAATTGATAAATGGTATTATGTAACAGATGCTACATAATTCTATCTTGATTACATAACTGAATAATAAAATTTTTTTTTAAAAAAATTTACAGTAATTTCCCTGTATATGCCATGTCGTTTTGATTTTCTTCAAAGAAAAATTCACAAAAAAAACAAAACAAAACACGAAAAACATGCAACAGAAGATAAATGATGTTTGATCATTAGAAGTGTTCAAAATTCCGTTTTTAATACTATTGTTACTATTGTTATCACTTATTATTACTACTAATACCACTGTTATGGAAGGAAAATCCATGAAGTCACTGGCAAGTGGACTGAGTCATGTTGGTAGATGTAGGATACCTGGTTGAGGTCCGCGAGACGATAGTCAGCAACGGTTAGAGACCTTGAACGACATGGATCAGAATCGTTTGCAATGGCGCAGGTGCATCCACTCTGTGTTCTCTCAAACTCTCAGCTTCTGCATTCCTCATAATCTCTATCTTTCTCCTTCTCATTGAATTATACTTTTCGAATCATATCTTTGATCCCTAATCTTCTCCATTACTGCTAATACTTCTATTTTTGCCATCACTCTTGGATTTGAACTGACAGCTGCGTCTCTGTGCTGATGTGGTATGGCAACCTGAACTGATGTACTTACCTACGAAGTTCTGCGTTGAATCTGTCTGTCTGTCTTATTTATTTATTACTAATTGACGTTAAATAACTATTCAGAAGAATGTTTAAAATTACGTTATACATTAGGTGGAGAGGTGGCCTTATAGTTAGGAAGCTTGTCATTGAACAATTAGACTGAAGGCTCAAGGTCAGTTTCCCAACTCGTATTTAGATGTTCAGGTTATATTACTAAGCTTTAGTAAGAAAAAATATAGTTTAAGATAAAGTAATCTAAACCTGTTAACTGAACTAGAGAGTTATGGCAGTCAACAAAATCTAAAACAAAAATCTTAATTTTAATTTCTATTCGAATAACTACATATCAACTAATTAGAATAGTACGAGAGAGTACCACTATCTTCGAATTCTGTCAATGCATAACTGCTGTACACTTGATACAAATGAACTCTGCTGGTTACAGCTTTTTATTAGAGCTCCCGAAAATACTGATCGAAATTTGTCACCAAAGATCACACGATTACTAGTAATGTGAAGGGTCTGTGGAAAGTGAGTTTCATAGATTACATCACGAATTAACTCCAACTAGACAACCACTAAAAACCAGGAAGCACTTAATATATGATATATGATATATATATATATATATATATATATATATATATATGATATTGCACATTCATACTTCAATGTTACATGTGTGTAATTGTTACACTCTATTGGGGAGTCCTGTAGAACTCCACAATTCCCATAAACCTCTCAAACTAATAAAAGGACAAACTATGTGAAAACTTTTAAGATATTTCATTTTAATTTCCTATAAAAAAATCATGTAAATACAACTAGTAATCAGGTGAATAGTGATAGCTAAACAAAAGGAAAGACTATTTTATTGATCAACTTTAGCAAAACAAAATATGAGCTCAACTTATGATCAGATTAAAATGGATTAATCAAAGTGTAACTTGAGAAAACTGTTTTGAGTGAGCCTAGTGAACTAACTTAGTGCAAACATATGGATATTTTGTATTAAAAACAAATTGCTGATGTCTTTGTGAAACTACGATGAGATACGTCACTAGACTAATGTTGGAAGCTGTCCACATAGAAATGTAAGCAAAAAAACAGATAAAGGTTTTAAAACTAAAGTGAATTTAGTAATTTATGAGGATTACTATATTGCCAGAGGAATACATCAACCAGTCTTCCCTTATTTAATTACAGGAGGAGAACTAACCACAGTCAAAGTACTACCGCTTATATGACAAATGGGAAATTCAGTGACTTCATTAAGCTTCCCTTTATTACATGTAAAAATTATGTTTGAATTTCTTCATACATTAAAATTTATGTGGTTTCAACGTTTCGCCTGGGAAACTGATCAAGACATTCAGCAGTGCGATCTCAAGAAATCTCTTTGATACATGACATTTAAGTGGATACACTGAGGTCTTTCAAGGTGATTAGTAAACAATCAAATCCTCATCTTCTGAAATTAGCCGAAGGTGTAGGCGTTAAACATCTAAAGCCAAATTTATGTGTTTAAGAAGAAGCACTAATAAACCTTTCATTACTCTGGTAACGTTACATCCATTCTATTACATTATCCTTTAGTTCGACTCTTTCTCATACTTTGATGACATCATTTTCATTTCTCTTACATTCACAAATTGACTGATTTCATCTCACATTAATCTTTATTATCATTAATCTGATCCCGGTTAATTCATCTCACACAATGATTTCAAGTTTGTTAACTCTTTGACTTCTAATCATAAGTTCGATATTCACGACCCGTCTTCTAACACTTTATTTATCTGTTACACGATCCTATGACCTTACTAACTTTATTGAAAACTTCGCAATATCTATCAAAAAACAAATGTCTACCTCTAATCAGTATGACGATTACGATTTTAAAATATTATGTTGCGAGCAGATGATGAGAACCTGAGGAAATTAAATGAATTCATATTATTCTGTACCAATCTTTATTTTTGCCCTCTTCAAGCAAATAAAAAGGAACTATGTGTATGAAAGATCAAGGAAATAAGCAAAATCGGATTTTGGTTAATTTAACATATGATGAAATATTTTTTTTTAAATATTAAGTGACCGATTTCTATTAAACTGTTCAAATTTTAATGATATCCTTACATAGTTTTGTGTATTATATTAATATCGTTCTAATGGACTGACTGACTAATTATTATCGTGATGTTTTGCTGTGATTTGATAAATTTTTTATCTAGTTTTGATAATGGTCTAGTATAAAATTTATTTAAAATAATAATTATTCAACTGTAACGAATAGCCACTGGAAATAAAAATTGTGATACTTTCTGATGAAACATTCCTCGAAACAGCAGGCTACAATTTTTAATTGTTACCGGCTAGGTCGAGATTTAAGGGAAGAATAGTTGTGTTGGGTTCACCTGCAGCAATAACACTTAGGCTCGGTCATCTTCGCTTAGTATTTTGTTGATACTTCCAAATCGCGTAGTAACAGAAAGTTATAGCAAGCTTATATGATATGGTTTCACAATCAATTTTAGTGCTATATATACCCTTTATTGTCTCAACATTAATTGGTGATTGAATTGCATTAATTCACTTTTTAGTCATATTTTTTGACTCTAGTGTTACTATTGCTTTGATTTTGAATTTTATTTTTCTAACTTTCATTATATTGAAAAGCGTCCCAGCTTGAACTTACATATATTTTTAATAAGAGTGACAGTATATTTTGATTTACATTACATTAAGGTGAGGGCCATAACATTAAAGTTTATCAGAGTTGTGATGTACTTAAAGACATTTGGAGCCTATTCATGATATCCTAAGTTTACATAAATGTAGTGATAGTGGCTGTTTTACTGAAACGATTTTAAACCTTATAATGAACCCGATTAATATTTGCTCACCTTTCATTAAGAAAGGTACTCATTTTATACAAGAACAATTTAAATGAAAAACCACTATTCAAATATAACTTGCACTTTCAATTATATTTACAAACGTAAACAATAACCCACGTATAATAACATCAATCACTAATAAACAGAAATGAACTCACCCTTTCCAATTTGTTTGCGGGCATTTTCAACAGCTAAACTTCTATTGATATTTGATAGAAACCCTAAAGAAAACCGACCACTATCTCGACCTGGATTAGTGAAACCATCGACAATGATACTCGGTATACTAGCAAAGTATGCTTCACCAATGCGTGAATTTAATTCATAATATGCAATACTACACCAGTATTTCGGTTCTTGATAGTTTATAGCATGAAAACCTGTGAAAAAGTGTATGTAGAAAAATGAATAATGTTACTTTAAGAATAAGCATAAACAAAATCGTTCAATCCTTCGTAAGCATTAATATTAAGAAGCAGTTCTACGTTATAACTGACCGATTGACTGAGGAAGCATTCTGGTTATCCAATCTGTTTATGATTGACATTGAAACAAATACAATAGATGGATAGCAACCATAAACAAATTTTACATGTCAAACCCTGTTTTATAAAATGTAACAGACAAAAAATATCATCAAACTCAGTTATAATTCAGCAAATAACTAATTTCGGTTGTCACATGTCGAAAAAACGGTAACAGTTTACTAATAGACTGTTATTACATTTATACACAATCAGCTTTAGGATCCCTAAATCCAAAAGTGATTGCGTGATACACAACTGCTGGACCGAAAAAGTAAACATGTTTACGAAGTATTGTAGATATTTAGGTTAAGTATCTTCTAACCCTAATCTTTCCGATTACTGCTCATACTTCTACTACAGTTGTGCTATGGCAACTTAAACTGATATATGTATGTAAGAAGTTGGATTTGAATTGACAATTACATCTCTGTGCTGATGTGGTATGGCGACATGAACTGATGTACTTACGTACGAAGTTCTACGTTGCGTCTGACTGACTGATGTAAGAAGTTGTACGTTGTAGCTGACTAACTGAATGTAAATATTTAGGAGAAGTTCACTGAATAGACTATTTGTTTAGAAAAAGCCACTTAGTGGCATTTAGCTATTAGTTGTTTCGGTATAGTGTCTCGGAAGCAAAACTGTACGGTGTAAACTACCTCTATTTCGCCCTTGATATTTTCAATCGGGAATGAAATGATTAGTTGTTATATTTTGAGTAAGTGAGTTGAGTAGCTATTGTTTTTCAAATTTAACTCGGGTCTTGTTTGTTTATTACATTGTAGTATTCACATCAAAGGACACAAAACTATCGAAGATAACTTAAAAACTCTATCTTACAAGAATATATTCTAGATAGCCAAATTATAGCTAACAGTATTCTTTAAATAAAAAACATAGGAATTCATAGGGAAATATCAAATTCAACCTTTGAATGCAAAATAACAACTTAGTTGTTACAGCATCTGATTTTCAGACAATAAGTTATAATTTTAGTTTACTTAAGTTTCAGTGGCTAATTGGTATTACAAGCCTTTATGCAGTGAGTTCAACGCTGACTGAAGAAACCTGTACTTCGCAAAGATGAGTTAACCCCTGAACAGCATATTATAACATGTTCTAGTGAATACAGAAAGCTAAAAAAATAAAAATGCTTAGGGAGATGATGTAAGGCCAAATCAATGTAATATGAATGGCGAAGAAGTGGAAGTAGCTGTGGTAGTAATGATAGCTAAAAAACTTAATATTAAGAATACAGTTTGAGTGGAGATGTCAAGGTGCATATGAAGGAATAGTGATGCCTAAAATCAGGAGTATGATGAATGAACGTATCTGATCAAATACGAACCACCCAAAATCTTCAACCACAGATAACAATTATTAAGCAGACTCCAAGCATATAGTCAGAAGGAATCAAGGTTACTCAGAACAGTAGTTACGATCTCACAGGCTGATGCTCCGCCTTAGTTTGGCCGCCCCTAATTTTCAACTTATTCCGATTTCAGCCGTTGGGTTTGACGGTAGTAGGAAAATCGTTTACTGACCTAGAATATGCCGATGAAATAGTTCTATTCGGTGAAGACGCTGACAAAATGCAGTCTTCCGACTATCCTAAGCAACAGTGCAAGCACGTTCGGGATGTGGATTTCCCTCTCGAAATTCCAAATGTTGCTTCAGGATCGGCTTGCGACTTCACCGGAACTAGTGATAGGGAGTGTAGTAGTCGAACGTGTAGACCGCTTCACTTATCTGGGGAGTCTCATCAGTGCTGATGGCCTGGTGACTGACGAAATCTCAGCTCGGATATAGAAGGCTCGACTGGCTTTTGCCAACCTGTGTTACTTATGATGCAGGCAAGATATCCGAGTGTACCGTGCAGTAGTTCGCTCCGTCCTACTATACGGATGCGAAACATGGCCGTTAAGAGTAGATGTTCGTAGGTTACTAATATTCGATCATCGATGTCTCCGAAGCATTGCTCGTGTATCTTGGGACAACCGTATAAGCAATGCTATTGTTAGGAAACGAGTTCTAGGTAGGGATGGCAAATCAATAGATGAAGTATTGAAACCTCATCAGTTGAGATGGTTGGGACGTATGCCCAACCACAGACTGCCGCGACGAGCTATGTTTTGTGGTGTAGGAGTAGGTTGGAAGAAAGCTAGGGGCGGCCAGACCAAAACATGGCACAAATCCATGAAGTCACTGACAAGTGGACTGAGTCATGTCGGTAGATGTAGACTACCTGGTTGAGGTCCGCGAGACGAAAGTCACCGATGATTAGAGACCTTGAATGACATGGCTCAAAACCATTTGCAACGGCGCAGGTGCATTTATTCTTTGTGTTCTCTCAAATCCTTGTGGATTCTTCAACCTCTAGTTTTGTCTTTCTAAACTTATCTCACTAAACTATACTTTTTGAATATTATCTTCACCCCCTAATCTTCTCCATTACTGCTAATACTCCTATTATCGCTACCACAATGGGATTTGAACTGACAGTTGCGTCTCTGTGCTGATGGGGCATGGCAACCTGAACTGATGTACTTACGTACGAAGTTCTGTGTTGTATTTGTCTGTGTCTATCAGTTTGACGGTAGTTAAATGGATACGGCATTATCCTAATCACCTTAATAAATGAAAGAATTAGTATCATATCAACAGCTTCATAATTTTTTCATCGTACTGCATTTTTAACCTTAGGGTTGTTCATTTCAGTCGTTTCAAGAACAATAGCAATGCTTCGGAAATACCAATGATCAAAAGCTTGTAATCTATGCGTCCTTTATTTTCATAACTTCAATCACGGAAAACAAAGAGCGGACTCTATTGTATTAAGCTTGCCTTTTAGTTTGAAGACAAGCTTCCTGATTACATTACAGGACAATACAAGTTACACAAAGACAGGTGTTGCGTATGCCGAACCACCGACTGCCTCGTCGAGCCTTGTTTTGTGGTGTAGGAATAGGTTGGAAGAAAGTTAGGGGCGGCCAAACCAAAACATGGGAGAAATCCATGAAGTCATTGACTAGTGGACTGAGCCATGTCAGTAATTGTCGACTACCTGGTTGGGGTCCGCGAGATGATAATAATCGATGGCTAGAGACCTTGAATGACATGGCTCAAAATCGTTCGCAATGGCGCCAGTGCATTAATTCTTTGTGTTCTCTCAAACCCTAATCTTTTGGATTCTTCAACCCCTCTAGTTTTTATTCTTTCTAAACTTATCTCACTGAAGTATACTTCGTGAATAATATCTTCTCATCCTAACCTCTCCGATTACTCCTACTACCTTTACTACCTCTTCTACTATTGGATTTGAATTGACGATTGCTTCTCTGTGCTGATGTGGTATGGCAACACGAACTGATGTACTTATGTACAAAGTTCTACGTTGCATCTGACTGACTGACTGACACAAAGCCAGGGAATATTCCTGAATCTGTTTTATTTCATAACACTAAAACACCTAGGATAAAGAGACTTCAAAGTGAGTTGGTCAAAATAAAACCACTCCATTTCTTATGATTAGTTTGGAGAATGTCTTAGACTAGTCTTAAAGCAACATTTTGAGTTTAAAAGAAAAAAAAGTATCCTTCGGAAATGATGTTTAGGAGGCTGTGGAATTAAGTGAAAAACCATAGAACGAGATAATATACAGAAGACCTCCTCAGCAGTTCCTACAGTCTAGATAAATTGGTGAAAATTAGGTATCTATTTGAATTTAAAAAGACTTGATAAATATACTAACCAGGATAACATTGTGAATCAAATGTTTCGTCACTTGGAGACTCCTTTTTCGTAGATTCAACAGTTGGGTATTCGTTATGTCGAGGTACTAACACAGGAGGCAAGACTATTTGGGATATTGGAAATAATTAATTCTTACCAGGATAATCAACGCGAGTATAATGATATGGGTTGATGCAAACTTCCGTCTCTTTAGAACTAAATGGCAATTTACAATTTTCCACAGGTCTTAACTCATGATGACTCTGAAGATCTGGCCAACGCCAGACTCTGCAGTATATTACATGTGGAAATCCTTTTCGATGAGAAACCTATAAAAATGAAATGAAGAACTTTTTAACGATACCTGAATTCGACCATCTAGAGATCGTGGGATAGTTACACATTCACTAGGCTCGTTTGGGTGAAGCAAAGCGTACTGAAGCCTTTCTAAAACTCCTTTCCGTTTTTTTAATTTTTTAATTAATGTTTCAATTGCTTTTTGAGCCCACTTTCCTTCCTCATCTCCTTGTTTCCATCCTAAAGATCCACACAAAACAGGATATCCAAAATCAAAAGGCTTTTTGATGCATATATTCGGGTCTAACATATTTTCAAACAATACAGAGATCGTCAAAACTTGTTTGTCTTCTTAATAGTATGTCCATTATCGTGGTTTTTGAGAAAAGCGCCAGGAGCTATCAGCCGTCTGTAAATAAAATCATATATTAAAACACGATATCATGAAATACTGCCAGTTACAAAACCAGCGAAGTAGAATTGTATAAAAGTGTTGATATAAACACTGCTTCAAAGACGTTACTATTTTCTAATATTTGACTTGGGCTGTGTAACTACTAAGCAGAATTTAGTTTATGCTGATATTGGTTATTGGCGTTTGTCTGTAATAACTCTACACTTTCACGTGCTAGTTCGTATATCATTATGTTATATCGGGTTTATTTAATGTTAGGATGGATCGAATGATACGTCTTATCCAGTCTATCACAGGAGTGTTTGAATAGACCAAAGAACAAGTTAATATGAAACTCAGAAGCTAAATATTTAGTCATGGAGCTCTACTCATAAGGTTTGAACTTCAGTCATCTTGAAAACTGATAGGAAAACACAAATTTCGCGTTTCCAAATCGGGGCCAAGTGAACTTATGGCAAAACATTCAGCTGCCGAAATTTCCGGAAATGTGCATCGTCGTTACCATTGATGGGTTAGTTCGGGAAGTGATCTTGTAACAGCTAGGGTATGATTATAGATAAAATGTGTCGAAAACCGTAGGTATTTATCTATAAAAGGCATCTTTGCTTAACTTAAAACACTACATTAGAGGTGTTTTCACGTTTCCCTGTGTAGAAAAATGGGATACATCTGAGCCAGTAGAAGTATTCTTATTAGACGCTGCCGTTTCTGATACATCAAGCAATCCGGTGCCTTAGTTTACTTCTGAAACGCTTGAGTTGAGTTGAGTTGTACTTATAGCATTCGTTAATCTAGTTTATATGTAACCGTTGGACTGTCTGCGATTATCGTTAAACCACTAAATCTGTAGCCTTACCTTCATTATCGTTTATGCCTCTAAGGCTTGAACACTGGAAAAATTCTGCTTTAGCTTTTCGAAGAAAGACCATATGATGATACAATCGTTTGTAATGATGAAAAATCTGTATGATGGATGTGTCTCACCAGTTTCGTGGCTGCCGGTATTTAATATATTCTTAGACTTCGTATAATGCCCACCCTGACAACCATTATAAGAAAACGCCCGAAGGTGTACAATCAGAAATCTAATTTGAAGCGCTGAATGTGTTTGTTGTGGCACCACAAACAGACTACCGAAACCACAGGCACAGGAATCGCGATGATATGCGTGTTTCAAAGAGCGGGCCAGAAAATTAGCGAGTTCGTGGAATTACGAATCAATTAAATGTACACATATATAGTAAGGAAAATGAATGGGTCGTCGAATAATTTAGGAGTTTGACATAACAGGGAATAGAATGAATATGTGTGGTGGTACACAGTGTTCAGTCATACCTGATCATACAACCGTGACAGTAATAAGAGCATGATGGTACGGACAAGTTATTGCAATACGAATGACTGTGTGATATAGAAATTTACGAAATTAAAATGTAAGATAGAACTAGCGTTTAGGTTATTACAAATATATGTAAGCTAGAGTTCGCATACATCCATGGGGCCAGATCAAATGATAATAGAAGATCTAAAGAATACGGTGATGCTTTTAGAAGTTTAGGCGCATTAGAATATACGAGAAATGTCAAATATAATAATAGGTAGAATTTACGGTATACTAATAAAAAAGGAGGAGGAAACAATTCACATTCGAAGAGGTGAAAGAAACTATTAATTAAAAACGGTTGCTGTTTATCGTTGAGGCCACCTAACTCTTGGACCATGTCATAACGTTACAAGATTCTTTTTTTCTTCGTCGTCAGTGTCACTGATGGTTAAAATTCATTTTCCGGTGATTCAACGGCTTTCGAATGATCTGTATTTGCAGGCTGATAGTCAGCTTCGATGAAAAGTGGTTTGACTCGGTCGATGCCAATTACATCTGTTTTTCCGGCTTTATCTAGCGCAATCGTTTTATCGTTTCTTCTCATCGCTTTAAGTGGGCCATCTTAGGTCGGTTGTAAGGGACGCTGCGCATTATCACTTCTGATAAACACATTAGTGCTGTGTCTCAGTTGTCGTGGTATGTACACCCGGTGTTGATGTTGCTTCGGAGAGTTATTCTTAAATGACTCATCTGCTGCTTTAGACATTATACTTTGACTTTCCGGCATTTTACACAAGCTTGAGCCCAGTTACGAATATCTTGGTCATACGAAACGCCCACTGTTTAGTTTGATTGTGGCCTTTATTCCAGGATGAGATATATTAAGCATAGTTTCGAAAACTTTTCGTCATAGTCGCTTCGGAATAACTGATCATGGTCGACCCGAAGAAGCATCGCACGTTATAATTGCTTTTTAAAATCGAATTTCTTTGAGTACCAAAGAGGTTCTGCTGGTATAATTTAGTTTACTTAGCTTAACATTCTGCAATGCTGCTAATTTGTGGTAATAGACTTCACATTGGATGAGAGCGTTTATCATCTTCCTGGATAGTGTGCATCAGCCATTTAGTTATTATCGCCTTAATATATAGACGTAACTTGGGTAGTAATCGCTAATTCTGTCGGTGACCAGTTATCCTGCTTGGCGTTAAATGCTTTCATGAGGGGTTTATGATGTGTGTGTACACTGTGAAAACGGCACCCTTTATTATATGTCGTAAATATTCTGTTGCCAAGTAAATCTCTAATAGTTCTCTCTCGACCGTTTTTTATCTCAATTGAGTGGGATTTAATCTCTTTGAGAAAAAGGAAAGTGGTCCCTATGTGCTGTTCATTCATTGCTGCAGTATGGCTCCCAACTATTACGTCCAGTGCGCCATTCATGGAGGAGAGCGGCGATTCTTTCTTCCGTCGTACTAACATCGTCTTCTTAACTAGCATTCGTTTGGCGTTCTCCAATGCCTGTTTAGCCTCCTCTGATTGACGGAATGTTCAGACATGTCCTCGAAAAACGTCGGTCAGGGGTTGTAATATTGTTGTGAAGTTTGAAATAAATCGTATATAGTGGTTTATTGGCTCCAAGAATCCTCGTAATTTTCTCTGTGACTCAGGCAAAGGATAATTACGATTAGCTGTGACCTCTATAGGAACTGGCGTAATACCTTGAGAATTTATCATATAACCCAGGAACAACAATGATTCGTTTCCAGATTCAAACTTCTCAACGTTAACAGTGGCGATATATTCTTGAATTTTCATAAACATCTGTCGTAGATGTTGTACATATTCTTTCATCATAGCGCTAGCTACTAGTATATCATCGAAGCATGCATATACTCCTATCAAACCTCTATCGACCTAGTCAATGAATCGCTGGACGGTTTGTGCTGCAGTCAGCAATCCTCATGGAATTTGAAAAAATTCGAATAACCCAAATGGACTGATTACAACCACTCTCGGTATATCTCTCAGAGTCACGAGAATGCAGTACATCAATCTCTGTAAAGCTCGTGGCGCCCACCATATTGGTAGTGACGTAGTGGATTTGTGGTACCGGGTATCTGACTGTCATATTTTGTTGGTTAAGGGACCTGTATTCTCCACATGGCCTGATTTCTCCATTCTTCTTGGGAACCATTTTTAGCGGAAATGTCAAGGGACTGCCAGACGGCACTAAAAAACTAAGTTTCATCAGTGTTTTGAATTCTCGTTCCGCTATTTTTAACCTTTTTTCGCATAACCTTTGGGATCTTGCCTTAGTCGGCGGACCTTTCGTTACAATGTGGTGCTGCATGATATGTTTGAGGTTTATGTCGTATGACACCCTCGTCAAGTGGGCATACTCAATTAGAAGTGACTTAAATGAATCATTTTTGTCTTTGGACACCACTATTAGACAGATTTTTTGCTTAGAGTAAACTCCACGATTATGTTGATGTATATAATCACAATCTCACAGTCATTTTTAATCACTACTGGCGGAGTTTGTTGACTAACTACTATTGACTTGATTCAAAGTTTATCTTATAGAAAATCTTTCCGAATCTCATTCAATTTTTCCACAAAAACGTGACTACAGCTATACAAGTTACAAGATACTGATTAGTATAGTGTTCTTTATCTGCCAAATAATATTTTTAAAATTGATGAGACACTAAAAATAAAACTGATTCTAATACCATTAAAATCGAAAAGAACAAATTAGCATTAAACAAGAAATATTAAGCAATAATAACAATAATACACGGACAGAAAATTAGTCAGTTTAGTAAAGCTGTAGAATGGTTATTCCAAATCACTGGAAACAAATAATAGTCGACTAATAAATAAAACATGTTAACATTATTTGAAAAAAAAATAGATTAAAACGTTTGATCTAGAAAGTGTAGGCAGTTGCATAATGATAAAGTAACACGAATGAAGAAGTAAAGAAAAAGTTATTCAACAAAATTAAAACGATCCACTGGTTAAAATAGTGCAAGTTTTTAAATACTCACTACAAAAAGAAAATTAGAAAGATGAAAAAAAAGAATGAATCAATTTTACTTTGAACAACAAACTTTTGGTTAATAATCTGATTTTTCTTTCAGTTTATTATGCACTACTGAGTTTTCAAAAGTTTCACACAAAGAATATTAGATATAGAATGAGATTTACAACACTTTTTTTTATTAGAATTAACATAGATTGTTTGTGATGAGTTTCTTCAGGGAGTTGATCAAAATAATTCTGATCATTGATCACTAATAACCTCTAGCTTAAAAACTGAACTGGTTCATAATCAGAAGGTTCTATATTTACACATTGTCAATTTCGCGCCGTGAGCCATTTCATCAAATTTTTAGAGACAGTCAGAAACATTGCTCAGTTCAGAGCATAAATAAACCTAAGAACATACCCTCTTTAGATAATATATTCCCTAAGGTGTTGATACATTTAATTTGACAACATGTTACACTTCACTAGAATAGTTAGATTTAATACTATCCATTTAGTCTACTTACCTACTACTACATGTTAGGGAAAAACGAAATTGTAGCTTGATTAGACTTGTTTTAAACGACAGTCGGTTAATAGTATTTTCGTGGCAGTTTGAATTTTTGGATTGTTTAGGCTTTTCATTGATCCTAATCAATATTGAGACAAAAAACTGTATCATTAACCATAACATAAACAGGAAAAACCCTGTCTATTTTGTGTTTTTTTTTTGATGAATAACAAATCATAACATTCTAAACAATGATCACAGAAATATGACAGGAAGGAATATGAACAATGAATAAATGCAAGATTTAGAAAGAAAAAAAACTTGTTTATAATTTACAGTTTAATTTTTTTTCGAACCATCATATTTCTTTCATCAATACGTTTACGCTTTTCTATACACCACTTGGTGTTTTTCAACATTTTATTTACTAAAACTGTGTGGTGTATTTTATCATCTTAGTATTGCCTACTTTATTCTTCTACATTTTGTGGTTGTTAGCGAAGAGAAATTAGATGATCACATGGAATAGACACCATATGTGAATGAACACAGCTTTGTTGTTTTCCAAATTATTTTGTTTACTTAATATTTTAAACTTGATATCAAAACATTATCATAAAACAGATGCTTACTGTGCTTCTTAACAATCACTACTAAAAATTTTTAAACTTTATATTGAGTGCTCAGTAACCAGCTTCAGTGACTATGTAGCGGTAGGTCTCAATATACACAACGGAAAAAGCAAGATCCACTGATACAACACCTGTGGTGCGAGCTACTTATAAGTAGTATATGATGTGAGTGTCAACGTAATGTCTGGCAGCAGAAGATGGGGGAAGATCAAAAAAGGAAGAGTTAGAAAACAATGGAATTTGTATGAAACGCATGAATAGTGACAATGGATTGATGTTTTGCAACAGGAACAGTCCAGTTCGATATGATGAACTGATGTTTTGCAAATGAACGATTTACGATATGGTTTTCCGATTTTACTGAGTAACTCTGTAATTTTCGTTAAATACAATCCGGTTGCCCCATCTGCGTTCTCGTTCACTACACACCACTTGCATCTATGAAATTACACTTGATGGAGAAGCTTTGGAAGATGTAGAAATCTTTACATGTCTGAGAAGCATCATTGATGAGGAAGGTGGATTTGATGTGTGAGGGCTGTATTACTACAATTGAACAATATATGGAACTCAAAACAACTAACAGCCAACATCAAAGTCAGAATAGTCAACTCAGATGTCAAGACAGTTCTACTATGTGTAGCGGAAACCTAGAGAAACAGAGTTATCTACGCAAAATACTTCTGATCTATTGGCCATACACTATCAGCAACAACCTACTGTGTTAGAGAATAAACCATATTACAGCTGAGGAATGAATTAGGAAAAAAGCACTGGGGTTGGATAGGACACATGTTCAGGAAGGCATCCAAATGCGTCACAAGGCAATCCCCAACTTGGAATTCTCAAAGCGAAAGAAGAAGAGGAACACTAAAGAACCCATTATACTGAGAAGTGAGAGCAGACATAAAAAGAATGAACAGCATTTGGGTAGAACTGGAACTTTAATCCACAAGAGAGTACACCAATTTTATGTATGTACAAATTTTCATCATCAATCAAACCCTCATTTTTATTCTTCTGATGACTGGCAAAAAATATGATACCCATTTTCAGTTTTCAATTTTCTATTGGTGTAGTATTCTAGGATCAATATAGTTTGATTACGAACAATTCATTTCCGTTCTGGACTATTGGAATAATGACTTGTAAAAGGTTGAAGTGAATCTTTTAGTTGTTTCAAAACCATTAATGACCTTAATAGTGACTTCCTGTTCTCACTTGAGCGGAGCGGTTAACGAAAAGGCAAGATCCCTGAAAGAAAATAAAACCTGTAAAGATAGCCATTGAGAAACAAGAATATCACAGTGAACTGACTTGCTTGTGGAATAATTAAGATGTTCAGTTATACGTGAATCAGGTGCACATGATGTAAGAACCATTTTTGAAGGCTTTGTTTGTGAAAATTCCTCTATGTATACATTTGTAATATGTCCTTATCGATTCCTACAGTTGTACATTTTTGTTAATCTCCTTGATTCCATTTGAGATGATAATATTTGTATTTTATTATAGTTTCTATTTATTCTGCCTTTAGTGAGTTTCTATGTTTCTTTCTGAACTGTATTTATTTTGTTTAAGCTGATACTTAGTCATGGCGACAGACATATTGACTTGTTCCTCTTTTGATTGTGTCGCTTGCTTCGACTGGAATTGTGCATTTTGATTGTGAATTGAAGCACTCTTCCAGAATAGGAAACACTCTGTGTTATAAAACAACCAAATATTATCTGTTGAACGAATCTGATCTATCTAGGAGGGATGGAATATCATTTATTTGAATAATTGAACAATTGTCGGTGGAATAGCTGAGTGGCAATATTGTTTAGGTAATGATGTATATTTATATTTATGATGAATATTAGAACTGTTATTTACCCAAATCACTTGTTTTGATTTCAACTGGGCAAGACGCGTATCTAACCTACCTAGACAGTTATTCCTCAGTCCAAACCTCAGTTTGGATCCTACACATGATGTTATCCATAGCGAGAATCAAAACAGAATAATTAAACCATTTAGCTCATAGTACACAATTTAAAAAACATCATTATTTTGTACCCTAGAACTAATTGTTACGTACACGTTTTCATTAATAAAATCCACATAAAGTAGTACAGCAAAAAAAGTTACATATTATATTTATTCAAAAGACAATAATGTTATTTCATTCGTACAATGTTCATTCTTTTTAATCTAATTACCATGTTCATTAAAATTTCGATAATGTTCTTAAATGCATAACAAAAATAAAATTATTTATCATAAACAGCAGTCGAAATTCCTCAAAAATTTTACATTGTGCCATGAAGTATGTATGATCTTTCAACTTTGAAATATGACTTGTTAGCTAGATTAGACAATTTCATTGTGTTGAATTCAAGGATTCTCTGTTCATCATGATTTTGATTTTGACAACATGTAACACTGATGTATATAGTTTTATGGATATTCCTGATGGCTGTCAGTATCATTCATTATTGTTCTTGTTGTTGCATAGTTTTCATTTGACATGAATGATGATGATGATGATGTTGATGATGAAGTTGACGATGATGATGTTGATGAAAATAATGTTGATTAGAATGTTGATGAATGGTGTAATGTTTGCCCGGTTTAATTAATTTAAATGTATGATTTTTATTTGGTGGATGTGAATACCATTTATTTTGTCGTTCAACATGTGGACACAATAATGAACGTAGATAATATTTAAAACGATGTAATAAACGATAAAATCCTTTACGAAATTGACGTCCAGTCATATAAACAAAAAATGTTAAACCATTATTAATAAAAAATAAAAAACGACATAATTCTTCAACCATATGTTCAGGACGATAATTTTCCGCTTTTGTAAGATCAACTACATTAAACTACAAAAAAAAAAATGAAAATAGAACAATGAGATAAAAAATTTAATTACTTCAGTACAAATAACTTTTCAACTATCAAGTGAATATTTATTTGTATTGTGGTACTGCGGTGCGAACTACTCATAAGTAGTATATGACGTGAGCGTCAACGTAATGTCTGGCAGCAGAAGATGGGGCAAGATCAAAGGAAGAGTTAGAAAACAATGGAATTTGTATGAAACGCATGAATAGTGACAATGGATTGATGTTTTCCAACAGGAACAGTCCAGTGCGATATGATGAACTGTTATTTTGCAAATTAACGATTTACGATATGGTTTTCCAATTTTACTGAGTAACTACAGTATAAGTTTGTTTTAAAAAAAGGTGCTATTTTTAATTTACAGCCTTCTAAAAATAAAAACTGGACAGAATTTAACTGTAATTAGTGAATATTGCGTATCATCTTCTTAGACAAATTAAGTAAATACTAGATCTGAATTTTATGGATTTTGAGATGATGGAGAAAACTTGTAGTTCAGGTGGATGATTGTAGTGGTGTTTCGTTCTCTGAGCTGGTTGTTTTGGTTGTGGAGCTTTCATTGTTCTTCTGAACAATAACATCATCAGAACAAACTTCAGATAGAAGTGAAGCATTCGAATTTCTCCACGTTTGACCTGTAGCTTGTTCTGTTAACCTCGATCTTGATTGGTTGCTGTTGACCTTTGACCTGTCGTTGTTTGCAACTTTGTTTTGATTGCATCCTCCTTTTGATCTAGTTAGACTTCATGACTATTTGAGTTTAGTCTGTCTAAAGTATAAGTTATTAATTCCCTTGTGACAACTAATGGTACTCATGCTGCACGATAGATTATGAATCTTAGCTCAATGAATATAATGTTTGTGATCACACCGATGGATAATAGGTTCCATGTCTTGTAAGATTGGGGGTGTTTTGCACTGCTGAATGATCTTGCATAATACTGAAACAGATATTTGGTGCTTTCTGTTTATCAGTGATCCTTACACTTATGTTAGTTCATAAATAACACAAGTTTCATAATCTGTCTAGAATATATCTTGTTACACCTAATGACAAACAACATTTTCTGCTGAATGCTAATAATCTATCTTATGCTTTGCTTCAAAATACAATTATCTTTTCAGTAGTTCTATAAAAAAATATTATTTCGTAATATTTATGTTTCTAAAATCACTTTTGACAAAAAAAATGAAAATCATAGAGTACCAAACTTTCCTCATCGGGCTTATTCTATAATTAGCCATATTTAAAACATGGAGAAGTTTCAAGTACATATTACTTAATAATTGATATTCTAATCACAAAAGCAAATGAAAGTAATCAGTAAACTGCATATGGCAGTGTTGACAATCATAATCAGCAATAAACTTAATTTTTTACAACTAATACAAACGTACTATCAGAAGATACCTAATATTCTCAAGATTTGAACCAGTCACATGTCATGATATACAAATGTATTTGATCCTATATGAGTCATTACATAGGACTTCGCAGATGACCTGGCTCTTCCATTGCACACGCAACAACAAATGCAAGAGAAGACGACCAGTGTAGCAGCAGCCTCTGAAGCAGTTGGTCTCAACATACACAAAGGAAAAAGCGAAATTCTCCGATGCAGCACAACATGCACCAACCAAATCACTCTTGATGGAGATGCCTTGGAGGACATTAACACCTTTACATATCTGAGCAGCATCATCGACAATCAAGGTGGATCCGATGCAGATGTGAGGGAGCGGATAGGCAAAGCAAGGGCTGCATTTCTACAATTGAAAAATATCTGGAACTCCAAACAACTATCAACCAAAACCAAAATCAGGATTTTCAATACAAATGTGAAGACAGTTCTACTGTATGGAGCGGAAACATGGAGAACTACCAAAGCCATCATCCAGAAGATACAAGTGTTTATTAACAGTTGTCTACACAAAATACTTCATATTCGTTGGCCAGACACCATCAGCAACAACGAACTGTGGGAGAGAACAAACCAGATTGCAGTGGACGAGGAAATCAGGAAGAAGTGGTGGAAGTGGATAGGACACACACTACGAAAAGCACCTAACTGCATCACGAGACAAGCCCTCACATGGAACCCTCAAGGCAAAAGGAAAAGAGGAAGGCCAAGGAACACATTACGCCAAGAAATAGAGAAAGATATGAGAGGAATGAACGAACATTGGACAGAATTGGAAAGGGAAGCCCAGGACAGAGTTGGTTGGAGAAAACTGGTGGGCGGCCAATGCTCCATTGGGGGTAACAGGCGTAAGTAAGTAAGTAAGTAAGTAAGTAAGTAAGTAAGTAAGTAAGAGTCATTACATAATTCATAATTGCTATTTATCAGTCTATTGCAAAGATTAAACTTTAAAAAGAAATGAACATTGAATCTTTCAGTCAATAGACTTCTACTAAGTGATATTGTTTCCATAAATAAACGCGACATGATTAAATAATTATTTACTAAAATAATAATAAACTATTACATTTGATTAAAATGACTAATTATTCAGACAGGAAGAGATAGTCGTGTTTTCGCCTAAGAAATATTCTTCAACTCAGAGAAAATTCGTGATTTAGCACTAAAAATTCATTCCATTGTATATGGTTGCTTAGTTGTGCATTAACTGAAACAGATGACAACCAAAACGATTCCTTAATTGTTGGCTGAAAATGAGAAACCATATATATATATATATATATATATATATATATATATATATATATATATATATATATATATATATATTTACACGCAAATAATACTTTCGCTAAAGTCACATAATTAAGTTTTATAACATAGTTGTTTCTATTCGTAGTTTTTAAGATTTTGCTATGATGTAACATCATAAATGAAAAATATTTGGCAATAAACACTTGAGAATTAATTTTAAAATATCTGCTGAATTAGTGAGTTCTTTTTCTAATTGTGAATACTTTGCGTTAGATTATTTTATAAAATTGATAAGATCTCAGTTAGTAGTATGTCGAGTAAAGAAATTTAAAAAATTGAATGTCATTATTGCGTTTTTACACAAGATGTTTTTTGAAATTTAGAAATTAAGAATATAATGATATTTATGATTCAATCTGTTTATTTTTACTTAGAAAAAAAGACTTCATTGCTTATAAACTCAAACAGAAGTTATTTACTAAATTACAAGTTACTGTTATCGGTTTTCTTGAGTTATTACAGTGTTTGTGAACGCAAGTGATTCTTTCAATTTACATGGAACAGCCATTAAATCTGAAACTTATTCATTACAAGTCAAGTACTTTAAGTATTCAACTATCATTTTACAAATTCTGTACATAAATCGAACTCCATCACTGATTAGTTCACATTAAATCGTAAGTTATGCTTGTGAAGAAAATAATTCCTAACTAGTGAGGATAACTTGGAGTGAACTATGAAGTAACACAAATTGATTATATCATTCTCATTATGTGGTTACGTGATTTCCCCTACTCTCATCACCCTTTATCTTTTCATTTATCTCATCAACATCACTGAATATTAGTTTCATAGAGTAAAACTACCATGAGCATTACATAAATACTATTTTTCAGCATCAACAATGAATTTGTATGCCTTAGATTCGTTACATTTTAAACAGCAAGCAGTTGGCTGTTTTTTGATAAGCAATAATCAGTAACTCTTCTACCAAATAGTATTATTGTAACCTAATAACTAATTTCAATAAGAAATCTTTGAAATTTTTATTTTTTTATTTATTTCAAACTTTGTAATTACAATAATGAGAAAAGAAAATTATGTTTATGAAATATCAAGTTTTAGTTTATTTTCCTGAGGATATTTTATTAAGTGTTTTGTTTAAAAAGTAGATTAATGATTTTGAATAACCAATCTTAATAGAGCAAGGTTGTATAATGGTCACTGTATAGTGAAGGAGAACACAGGTGAGGGCAACCGAATTGTGTTGACCGCAAATTACAGTGTTACTCAGTAAAATCGGAAAACCATATCGTAAATCGTTAATTTGCAAATCTTCAATCCATCATCAACCCATTGTCTGACATTTCACTATTCATGCGTTTCATACAAATTCCATTGTGTTCCCACTCTTCCTTTCTTGGTCTTCCCTCATCTTCTGCTGCCAGACATTACGTTTTTACTCGCGTCATATACTACTTATAAGTAGCGCGCACCACAACTGTTATTGTTATTGCTATTGATATAATAGTTTTTTGCTTCAATTCTAAATATGTTAAGCGTAGCCAACGCTAAATATGTTTGTTCTGTTCATTGCTTAACTATAAATATATATGCATAAAGCTGAGAATCATTATATGAAAACATTCAGAATAATTACATAACCACACTACTGATTGTTTCAAGTAATCTGTTGGTTTCTTTAACTTTATGTTTACAATTTGTTGGATAAATTTACAATCGAGAAAATATATTTTACCATGGCTCACATGAGCTAACTTCTCTTGAAATATTCTACATGAAATAATAAGTTCTGTTATTTAGATTTGTATAAAACTATAGACTCATTTATCTGACATAGACATTTCTCTTTAAAATCTGATTTCTTTTTTACTAATATTTAGGTAATTTTGTAACAATATTTGCAAATATGCATTTGTAAATGCTCATGCGTTAAAAAAATATTTTTGAAACCATGAATCGAGATCAATGTTAGACCACCATTAGAAACCTGAAAGCACTGGATGGCCGTTTCGTCCTTGAAATGGACTCCTCAGCAGTGCAGATCCATGACTCCTGCACCCCGCAGGACTCGAACCCAGGACCTTCGGCACTGTAGGCGAACGCCTAACCTCTGGACCACTGGACCGGTATCCAACGGTGTTAATGTCTAACTTGATCAATTCACTGAGTTGCGCAACCTCATACACAGTCTTCAGTAGTTACTGTCTACACCCGAACAGGTTGAACTTCACTGGTCACGTCTTCCCACAAGAACTCGGAGAAGATTCCTCACGAAGCTA